GTAGCCAATCATCGACGTAGGAGTGACATGGCTGTGCCAATTGGGCTGTGCAGCGTCGTCTGCTTTCGTCTCTCTGCACCGTCTGCGTCTGCCGCGGGACACTTCGAGCTGCTTGCTCCTTGCTCCGCCATTTTCACGTGTTGTTCCTAGACTACGTTCCAGCTGTGAATAGGGCATTTTAGACTGCCCGCTATTCAAAAAAAGCGCACAGCAATTCGAAATGACGTCCCCAAAGCAGGCGTTTGGACAAGTAGCGCCAGCTATCCAGCGTTAGCAACAACTAACAAACGTGTAATGTATGCCCTCGGGGATTTACGAAGGCTTGCTTAAGCCTGGAGTATCAATTATTTGAGTATTGCTCTCAAAAACGGTATCGAATCTATTCAAATACTGTGTTGTCGAAGCTAAAGGACATAGTCTGAAGCAAATGGAAGCATCATTTCGAAGCTTACGAGCTACAGAGCGCACGGCTGCCGCTAGATAGATTTGAGGCAGTCGACAACTGCATTCGAAGGCCAGCCATGTTTGTCAGAGGCTGAAATGCCTCGCCGGCGAAGCATGTTGTGCACTTCGAACAGCTCTTCCGCGGACGGCGGCGGCCGATGGTCTACGGCACTGCGCCGTTCCGGCAGGCTTGCCGCCAACGTGAACCGACCCTAACACGACATGATTACACGCACGCGTTAACTCCAACGCTCATCACCGAAGTAGGCCTGTCTGCAAAGGCAGCGTGGGCCTTCCTCCTCTTTCAAGGCTTGACTGAAATCCCAGAGAATCAAATGCCTGTGAAAACTCCTGAACTATGTGGGAAGGCTACCAGCAGAGCTGTAAGCCAGTTTCCACCAATTAAGGGTGCTAACCAACACCCATACAATAAGTGTGTTTTAATAAACCGAAAACGCCCATGTCATGGGTGTTTCGGTTCGTCGAAACATCCTCGTCGTAGAGTGTTATAGACACGGAAGAGCAGCCTTTAAAGGGCTAGTGCAACCAAATTTGTCACATGCGTGTTTTTCGCTGTAAGCAGTTTGCTTCAGCTTCAGGAAGCGTCAGGCTTGGGATGGCCTCGAAATTGGGTGGTACAACCCCTTTGAGGGCACAAACCGGTTTACAGTGAGGGAATGGTAAGCCGGACGTGGAGTCCACTGCGGCCAGTTTAGCTTGGCAATCATACATGCTAGAAAAGTGTGCTAGTTGTGGGGGGAACCAGCGTTTCGCGTAGTGGTGGCATATACCAATATTCGCTTTCTGTTGCCATCTTCACACCTATTTATGTTTCATTATAACCCTCTTTTCTCTTACCTTGTGCAAACTAACAAGCCAAAAAGCTCTGGCCTACGTCTCTGTCTTTTTATGAATGGCTATGTTTTATCTTACAAGAACGCTTTCGATTTGAGATAATACGATATTTCCTGCGTCCCAGGAATGTACCTTCAGAAAACACTTATAAAATTCAAATAAATGCGTGTTCAAAGCTTTTTTTATTCACTCTTTATTTTTGTTGTTCTCAAAAAGATGCCATTGGAGTGTTTCCATGCCGCATGCGTTTCACAGGGATAGCTACTAAACCACCAGTCGTTGATATAACCACAATGTTGTCAATCAAGAAATTTTCATTTACTCTAATTAATAATTTCAGCTTGGTCAATAAAGGGTGAAATTGCAGGTATTGGGTTAAAGTGAGCAGCCTAAATTCCCTCGATGAGTGCTCAAATATTTAAGCTAGTCTACGGCCTTCAGCTGCAGCTAAAATGTTATATATACGACATTACATAATAAACAGGCCCAATGTTTCTTACCACCCTATTTATTTTTTGAAATCCCAATGTGATATTTTGTTGTCGCTGAAGCAAGACTTCAGAAGAATCTTGTGAATGCATAATTCGCACGACCATGCGGCCCGGCTGCATGGAATTTACTTGCGGAATCCACAAGCTCCTATTTTCGCGCTGTGTTGCACACAGTTTCCATATATCATCTACTCCCAACAGCTCATTGCGTTTTTCCTCATATCGTGCTTTTGAGCAGTAGTACGCAATTTCTACTTTAGAGCCCTGCTCTTACGTACTTACAGTTTTTGCCGTATCTAAGTGCTTTCCGTTACGCTTGGGAGGTCGTAACGGGAACACATCTTCTAAAGCAGAAACCACTACCGCCGCAATCTGGCTGTCGTAAATAGACCGTTGCCGACTGCGGTATTCTCTGTTACTTTATTCGAGTCCCATTAGAAGTTGTTGTTTCAGCTTATTCGTTTTTCCGTCTGTCCTATTAGGAACATTCCAGCGGTCATTTCCCATTGAAGCATCTTTGCAATAGACCATGCTTCTGCTGATCGCAGAAGAATATATCGTGCCCTCTTGTTAAGCAAGGCAGCGAGCTATGTCTGAGCACGCATTTCAGTTCACACTGCACGTTTATTGCCCTCATTTAAGTCTAGTGGTCATGATTGTGTATACGACAACAAAGAGAAACTTGAAAATGTTAGATGGCCGCGAAACCAGAGATCGTGAAGAAAATTATAGGGTTAATATAAAAAGATAACAAGAGTTCGCTCCTGATGGCACAGCACCCGGACGCAGCTGATAAGATTAGATGAAATAGTGCAGTAGGGTACGTCGGGCTGTATGCAGAGAAGGTGCTCGTTGGCCTGCATGTTTAAGAGAGAGGTATATATATATACGGTATGAAGAAAGGCAGGGAAGTAAACCGCAAAGCAAGTTTATGGTTTGCTACCCTGCAGTTGGAAAAAGAGAATGGCAGACAGAAAAGTAAGAAAAATGGAATAAAGGGAAGAGAGCGGCAGGTAAGCGAAAACACACAGACACAAACACTAGAATATTATAAACGTTCGATGAGGCGGGTCGATCGCAGAAGCCTCAGGAGGGTCTTCGTCACCTTTCAGCGTGCAGCTCTATTTTTGGCATTCTAAATGTAATTTTTCGGAAAGCGGCTGGTCGTCGAGGTGTGTAAACACTGCTGACAGGGACTGTCTCTGACAGTCGAATGAGTACTAAAGAAAGACGAAAGCGGTTGAAGATGACATTGTCTTGAAATGTGCGGTGACATAAGAAGAATTACTGTCATAGATGGTTGACGTGCCAGTAGAGGACAACGAAACTTGAAAAAACCATACGAAGAAAAATTCTTGTTGAGGGCAGCATAATTTACGTGGGTGGGGATACAGTATACTACATAGGAAAGATAGCTTCGATAGTTCCTCGATTGAATATTGGGAATAAATTAAACAAAACATTTTTCATTTGATGCTTCTTCAACCGAATGTATTTTAAGCATAACTTTTTCAGATACGAGCTCGAGCAAAGAATCAAGGTTAAATGCGATGGTACGTGCAATCGTTCAGCTGAATAGGAAGTGCAAAAGTAATGGCTGGGGAAAGATGGAGCACTTCGGGGCTTACAGCAGCAGAGCATGGAGCAGAGTGGGATAGCCCGAAAAACTAGAAGTTGGTGCATTACTCCATTGTGTTCACTGACGCAATCTTTAAGACTGTTGTAGCTGACCTAACTGTCTGCTGGTACCTTGTGACAGTTTCGTCACGTTACAGAAAGAATGCTGTGCTTCGGTCGTACGTCATGGTTACTCGGAATTGTTCTTCATGTCTTAACAATGTAAGAAAAATTAAGCACCTGAGACATAGCAACATACTAAATGCTTTGTTTTTGTGGTTAGTTTTCTTACCATATTCTAAGTGCCGGTATTGCAATATTTTCTAATCACGGTGTATCATTCAGGATGCTGAAATACCGTTGTGCTTCCAATACGTAACTAGCATATAAAAGCGCAGAATGAAGTGAACGGCTTCACATAGCGAGAAGGAATGGAGTACGACGGGTGCGATATTAAGAGACAAGAAGTCAATAGATTGAATCAGAGGGAACACAGAAGTCGCCAATATATAACAATCATTATCGTCACCAGCCTGAGTGTGCTCACTGCGGGCAAAGCTCCTCTTATGTGCCACCAATCAACCCGATCACTTGCTTGGTCCGCGCCTTTCACATTAAGAGAAAGAAATTTGCAGCTAGGGGAGGCCACGTATAAGCGGGACAGATTACCGGAGGTCAGAGCGACGGAACTGTCACCAATGAATGGGAGGTGCAACAGACTTGAAAAGAGTGAGAGATAAAGAGAGGAATATAGACAGGGAAAGAAGGACGATGTAAAGTTAGGCGGGGTGAAGAAAATAGAAAAATAACAAGCACAAAATGGAACAAGCTTGCGCAAGACAGGGCAAATCGGGGACCAGTGGGAAAGGTATATGCCCTGTAGAAGCACATAAAGAGGCTGATTTCGATGATGATGATGATGATGATGATGATGATGATGATGATGAAGTGATGATGAAAGTCACGACGACGATGATGACGATGTACAAGCACAAAATTAGTCTCTCAAGTGTCTTTGCTAAGGCGATGCCTTATCTGCAGAATAAAGTGAACCAGGACATTGGGCGAATAAGCAAGTTGACCCTTACTGATTAAGAATATAATAAATGTTGCGCATTGTTGTAAAATACTACGCAATAACTTAATTCTAGCACAGACTCACAGACGGACAAAGGAGGAAACAACACTAGCGCAGTCCAAGTCTGCGCTAGATAAATATTACGGTGTATACGTAGCAACTAGTTTGTCTTTCAGTATGATCCATTTAATATAGTACATTGTGTTATCTGCATCGTATATATTGAAAGCTTGAACGGATACTGAAACAGTTTTGACGATGTTGTATTAACGCACTGAGCCGATAAATCAAGTTCCACGTAAGATGGTAGCAAAAACCAATTCCTACGTATCATTTGCAGACAGATGTAAGCTCACCGCGTGAAATGTGTGATTTATTACAGAACATTATACTTTCCCATTGCTACAGATCATATCGGCTCAGCCGAACAAGTATTTGACCTCCCAACCGTACCTTTGTTCAATGCATCAGACACCGCACTGAATACAAGCTCTCACTGCCACCCTTCCTCTCACCTTTGGGTCTCTTGTTCAGCAGCTGGCTCGGTGGCACCGGTTTCTTGGAACCCGAGGGCGTGGACGCGCTACCACTCTGAGCCGCCGACGTGGCGGGCGGCTTCCGCGTTGTCGTTGGCCTGCCGTGATGTGCCATGCGTGCCGTGTTGCGGCCGTTGCGGCCGCTGCGGCCGCTGTGGACTCGGAGGTCGGGCCGGCCTCTTGGTCGTACTCGTAGTGGTCGTGGTCGTTTTCGGAGTAGTCTCCTGGGTCGTCGTGGGTGGCCTCGTCGGAGGCCGGAGGCCGGGCCGGAACGTGATGATGGGCACCAGGGTCGGTCGTGGTCTGAACAGTGACCAGAAGGTCGTGATGCCGGGAGGCCGGAACGTCGGCGGCCACCGGGTGGCCGTGACCACCACACTGGCCACCGTAGGAGTGCTGCTGGATGCAGCTGTTGTAGTGGTCGTTACCACGGGTCTCCTCGTAGACGAGGATGAGGACGCCGTACTGGGCTTCGTCGAAGGCCTGTACGTCCTTCTTGTCGTCGGCGTCGAGGGCCTCCTGGTCACCGTAGGCGTTGGCGACTGTGGGCGTCAGATAAATGAGCGTAAAGTTTCTCTGCGGATAACTGGGGACGGCAATAGTGCTGAAGCTCGTGCTCCCGCCGGGCCTGCCCGGTGTAGGCTTCGCGTGCTGCGGAGGCTTGGGACGCTGCTTTTGAGGCTGTGGTGGTGACGATGGTGGCTCTGTGGTCGTCGTCGTCGTCGTAGTCGACGAAGACGGTGGCTCCGGCGCCAGCCCACCCGCGACGCTGTTTCACTGTCATCGTACTCGCAGCAGGAACCGTACAGGAAACCGTCCGTGCACGTGCCCAGGTGCTTTCCGTCTAGTTTGATGCACTCCCACACGAACATGCACGTACCCCGTTCGCCGATTGCGTTCTCGCATGACTTTGGACTGATCTTGAGACCTGCGAGATACCTTAGGTCAGAATTGCAGATGTTGTGGGAGTGTGAGTACGGTGGGAGATTGGTAATCAACACATCCTTACCTGGTGCCTCCCTTCTGCAGTAAGTGGCACGTACATATTGTGTCTTATTATCTATTTAAATGAAGGTACAATATTCATAAATATCCTATTGAATAGCCTTTTGTGCTTTATCCTGTCTACATGAAGCTACAGGAGAGAGCTTGGAAATCAGGATTGCAACAAAGAGCCAGACTCGTATTCTTGATGTCCAACAGATGCCTGCTATTTAACATGTGCAACACCTTCGTTTTGAAACGCACTGCTATTTAAGAGCACGCACTGCGGAACAGGAAAGCCAGACCTTCCTTATTGCTTCGAGCAAGGCGCCCGCAGTCCCGAGCGATAATTCATTTTGCGAACCGGTTCACCTCTCCGAAAGAAAGCGCAAAACAGCTAACGAGCAATTAAGATAGCACGAATTGGCAGTAACGATATTAGCTAATTAAAATGCTTTAGGGCACACCTTTGTCGTGACTACCGCCATTAAACTTTCATTTATAATACCTCATGTTTTTGTTGTTGTTGTTGTTGTTGTTGTTGTTGTTGTTGTTGTTGTTGCTGCTGCTGTTTGTGAACTCACTGTCAAAAATATTTTAGTGAATTCCGATAAAAGACTTGACTGCGAGAGTGGAAGAGCGTTAAACCACACTTTTTTGTCGTTTTATGCGAACATAACAGTATTTAAATAATTCAGGCCGTAATCTCCTTGGAATATTGTTAAACAATATGAATAAAAATATTAATAGGCAAACCTTTTTTTTTAACTATTGCATATCAGAGAGTTTTCGGTATAAGTGGTATTGTGAAGGTATTATTGAAAAAAGATAGGCTATAGATTTATAAGTGAATACTTTTATAGGGACAAACTACGTGCAAGGCTCAAGTGGGAGCCAACACGCTACCAGAGGCAATTGAAGAAAAAATCACGTACCTTTGGCGAGTGAAATGACTGAAAATGTGAATACTAAGACTGGAAGAATAGGAGTGGCACCGCTCGCTTCTGCTAATCGCCATCTGACACCCTGCAAGAGAAAAACGACGAGAGCCATTAGAGAATGCTGTAACTATACGGTGAAAGCAAGAGCAGTTTTAGCGAATGCAATCACGGAGACGCACTTTCTCATTCATTCGTAGAGCCATGTCGTGATTAATGTTTTGAAAACTCGAATTGGGAAATGTGCGATTTTGTTGAGGCAGTTGGCATTTGAATCTTTTACCATTTTCGAGGCAACAGGTTTGCGGATATTCGTTTATATTCTGCCCCGCCACGGCGGTCGAGTTGCTAAGGTACTTCGGCTGCTGTACCCGCAGGTCGCGGGATCGAATCCCGGCTTGTGGCGGCTGCATTTCAGATGGAGGCGGAATTGTTGTAGGCCCGTGCGCTCAGATTTGGGTGCACGTTAAAGAACCTCAGGTAGTCGAAATTTCCGGATCCTTCCACTACGGCGTCTCTCATAATCATATGGTGGTTTCTGGACGTTAAACCCCACATATCAATCGTTTATAATCACTGAGTCATGCCAATACATAAAAGAAGTGTCTATTGGCGATCAGTTATAAGCCTAGATATATCTTCAAATTATTATGCAATAGATATATTAAATGGTGAAATTGCTACTCATTGCAATGCTGCTTTTATAATGAGCGCAGGAAGAAGACGCCTTCGCAAATGAAAGGCCCTGTTTTTATAAGGAACAAGTATGAGCATGACAGAAAGTATATTATATTTACTGATTTATTCGTTCATTCTTTTCGACTGCAGATGGAAGCTAGGGCGATGGGTTGTAGTTGTAGTCAAAGGAACAACAAATATTCGCGCAAGAAGGATTTATTTATTATTTATTTATTTATTTATTTATTTATTTATTTATTTATTTATTTATTTATTTATTGAGTGATATGTAGGGTTTAACGTCCCAAAACCAGTATATGATTATGAGAGACGCCGTGGTAGAGGGCCCCGTAAATTTCGACCACCTGGGGTTCTTTAACGTGCACCCAAACCTGAGCACACGGGCCTACAGCATTTTCGCCTCCATCAAAATTGCAGCCACTGCAGCCGAGATTCAATCCCGTGACCTGCAAGGAGGTGTGTCATCACATATGCAATGATCATTATTTTTACTCGGTGTTTTGTTTTTATTTTTTATTTGACAGACAACACAAAACGCGTCGCAAACAATATCCGTTGACAGAAACACATATACATATATATATATTTGCGTTTACAAAGCATATCAATACAGGACCGTAAAGGCTAGAAGAAGGCAAAAAGAACATAGCCTTCGGCTTAGTTGTCTCACTGTAGTGTACTACCTCTGTCCTGTAGGAGGGTGTATACTACTGCAAATCATATGTGTTATTTTTCCCTAAGTGTTTCATCATTGTTAGGGACAGCTTACCACTCTCCTATACAGCCGACCATATAGTACTATGAGCCGTAGCGCTTCTTTTTCTTTTAAACACACACTGAAATTTCCGCTGGGTGAGAAATCAACGGCTGTGGACGGAACGTATAATTTTCGTAAGTTGTAACTAACCATAGAAGGTGGTCAAGAATACTGCCGAGTTCTCGCTCTGTTGGATCAATGAGCGATAGTTTTATGACCAATGAGTGTCTTTATTATGGCCTCCACATGGGCCTTTTTTTGTGTGTGACTACCATATACGTTTCCTCGGCGCCTCAATGCGCTGATTTGCTCCAGAAAAACTTTTTACACAACCATCAGTTATTTGGAAAACACATTGAGAGTGAGAGCGCACTTCATGGCACGTCAGAATTTTCAAAGCGTCTTCTATTCTCAATTGCCTACACGCGCACACGTGAACACATAGGTAGACGCCCCACGGTTGTGTGTTTAGAAAAAGTGTTCAACAATTTAGAGTATTTGGTACTGCTGTAAAGCTTAGAAAAAGGGGGCAACGATTTAGAGTACTAGGTAGTCTATTATGGGAGAGGTTAAAGCTGTCTCGTGGTGCTCACTCTATACTGTCGCACACAACATTCCAACCAGCAAGGTAGCTAGTGTCGACCTTTGCTCAAAAGCTGAAAAGTGACAGTAGTAGATGCCCCATGGTTGTGTGTTTAGAAAAAGTGTTCAACAGTTTAGAGTGCTTGGTACTAGTGTGGAGTTTAGAAAAAAGGGGCAACGATTTAGAGTACTAGGTGCTATAATATGGGGGAGTGTAAAGCCGTCCCGTGAACATTCAAACCAGCAACGTAGCTAGTGCCGACCCTTGCTCGAAAGATGAAAATTATTGAAGCGGTGGACCGACCACATTCGTGGGCTGCTAAATAAAAAAAAATTCGGCAGATCCCACGTGCCTGGGAATCGACGTTATGCGAAGAATATGGAGGAAAGTGACCGTGTTGCAATATAACCAGCACGCACTTGCGCAACGATGTCAACTGGAACATGCGTACTAGCAACCCCAGAAGCTTATATAAAGCGCCGATGCTCGCGAGGGTGCTCGCCCTGGACATTGCTACATAATCAACTTCAGCGCATGGCAACTAACCACAATTGACGTTAACCTGACGTGACAGCTGTATCAAAGGAGCACATATGAAATGTTTTGAAAATGAGGTAGGCAGCACTGCAACTACTATGACCTTTCACGAAGATTAGCGTCTATTTGGAAAGTAGTTCCGAGACCCGGCGTAGCTCTTTGGTAAAATGCTTCATTGCCACTCAGAATGTTTCGGTTAAATTTAAGCTGGGACGTTGGCATTTGTTCTTTGCATTCGTCGGGTCGGCGCTACTGATGTCGGGTATTTCGTAACGCACGCGCGTTAAAATTGGCGCTGTGTCTTCTCGTCGTTCCTGGGTAGATACTAAGTGTCAATCACCTGTGGCACATACCCGTACACCAGCGGCGCACACCCACCCGTGGGTATGAGCCGCTGTTTGGTGGGGAGTGTTTGACAAAGTACGCGACGGGATGGTGACATTATTCGTGTCTTGGCTAGCGCGTCATATTCGTCAAATCATCTTACCCTCCCATGCTAGTTCTGGTTCAGGCCAAGTTAAGTGGGTGACCACGAGAGCAGCCAAATGCAAGCGGCTAGATAGATAGATAGATAGATAGATAGATAGATAGATAGATAGATAGATAGATAGATAGATAGATAGATAGATAGATAGATAGATAGATAGATAGATAGATAGATAGATAGATAGATAGATAGATAGATAGATAGATAGATAGATAGATAGATAGATAGATAGATAGATAGATAGATACGCTAAAGGTGACCAAAGTTCGCTAAAAATGCTTCGAATTTGATATGTGCGTATGAAGGTTGAGCAAGTTTGTCCGACTGTATGGCGAATCGTATATCGAAGACCGCCTCCCCCCGTTTTTCTTTTCAATAGGCGATGTGGTCCGGTCATTTCCACCCTGAGTACCTCTACACCAACAATTCGCAACGCAGGTATTTGGAAAAAATTGTCACAGACTGCAGGCCTCTTCAGTAAATGCTTGTAACCATATCACAATGCCTGCTTTGCTGAGCAGTTTTTAGGCAGCAGCCGAAGTTTACTGCAGCCTGTTTTTCGGACAGCAGAATACGATTAACAGATTTGACGAAAAACTTTCTTAAAGACTATAGTCTTTTTTGGGATACTTCAACACTGAAATATTGCTCTGTCTGCCGTCGGTCAGTCTGTATATTGGTCTGTGTGTCCAACAATTCAGCCACCCGGAGAAAACATGAGCCCATGCTCAACGACCACCCATCTTGTTTTGGTAGGAACGTTCACACATGCAAATATTGTCAATCAAAAAGCACATATTACGCATATTTGAGATGCCTTATCAACAGTTAAATATCAGACAATGTGTTTCTTTATTCTTAAGTTACATAGAGACGTAATTCTCAAAACCGCAGTGTTTATTACACTGCGCAGGAAACGCAACACTATGAACGAAACAGTGGGTGTTTCCTACGCTTCACCAAAACGGCAAGGTGCTGCCACCTACCAGTAGGTCTCCGTTCTAAAGAAAAAAAAAAACTTTAGTTTCTTCACATTACTGCCACATGGTGCCATATCTCACGTAACACTCGACAATGTTCTCACGCAAAACGTCAAACAAACGCTTTATTCTTTTTATCCAGACGGAAGACAACGTCTTTTGACATCCTTTGCAGGATAGCACGCAGATACGCAGCCAATTTTCATTTTGTCGGACTCCATCAACTTTTAAATGACGTGAATTTCGTCGTGAAAACAACGTTACTAATTGAGCACGGTACTTTTAGAGCACACGCGATAGTTGTCTCCAAAATCTTTTCCGGTTCTCACACCCAGTCTCCTGATTCACTTCCGCTTTCCACTGTACCACTCGTTAGGCCTCGGAAATATTTTCTCAAGTTTTGTCAAAAACTAACTTCGATAACATGGACGTCATAGCCCGTTACAGACGGAGGTTGGAAGGTGCCCAGAAACACGTGCATGCATGTCATATCAACACGTCATATCACGTGCATCCAAGCCTTGATTCAACATGCGAAGCAGGCTCTGTGTGTTTAGCCTCCAGGACTGCGCAATGAATTTGTTGCTCGCTGCAGAGAAGCTGTGTGTGACTAACTGTGTGTCTGTGCGTGTGCGAAAACCCCCTCGTGCAGGTGTGTGCCGCGGAAATTGGGCGAATCCCACTATACGCCCCTGCTGCAATAAAAATGAAGCAACACACGAGCTGAAAACACCACTGGACGTCCCGCGCATAAAACGTCAAACGCATACGGCAAACCAGACTAAAGGACGCACGTCGTGAAACGGAGATTGCAGTAAAAAAAAAAAGACGAATTCTACGCCAATGGCTGCTCGTGATCGTGCACGAAACGCTAAGCGCACGCGGCAAACCAGCGAACACGACACAAATCGAGGAAAAAAAGACACGTTCAAATAAATTGGAATACCTTATAAGCAACATAAGCTAAATACAAAAGGGACTTTCTGAGCAGATATGTCGGATTCAGCTTCAGGGTGCTTGATCGCCTAGGTTCCTAAATTCCCCG